TATATAGGTGAAGATTAAATGAGTTCATATTAAATGAACTCACATGTATTTTATTTATTTGCTGATGATATAATAGAATATGAATATCTACAGAGAAAACTTAAAAGAATCAACAAATCAGGGGCACCTGGGTGGCTCAGTGGTTGAGCGTTTGCCTTTGGCTCAGGTCGTGATCCCAGGGTCCTGTGATGGAGTCCTGCATCGGGCTCCCTGCAGGGAGACTGCTTCTCTCTCTGCCTATGTCTCTGCCTCTCTCTCTCTGTGTCTCTTATGAATAAATAAATAAGATCTTTAAAAAATCAACAAATTATTAAAACCATAAAAAATAAAGTTCAGCCAAGTTTCTAGATTCAGTGGGTTTATTAATGATTAATATCAATAATATTACTCTACACCAACTGTAATAAAAAGTGATATACCATTCTTAATATGTCTTAAGCTGGTAGTAGGTACATGGGCATGTTTTACTATCATTTTAAGCATTATGTATCCTTTTTGCATGTGCAATATTTATATTTTAAGTTTTATTTTTTTAAACATTTTTTTAAATTTTTATTTATTTATGATAGTGACAGAGAGATAGAGAGAGAAAGGCAGAGACACAGGCAGAGGGAGAAGCAGGTTCCATGCACCGGGAGCCTGACGTGGGAATCGATCCCAAGTCTCCAGGATCGCGCCCTGGGCCAAAGGCAAGCGCCAAACCGCTGCGCCACCCAGGGATCCCATATTTTAAGTTTTAAAAAAGGATTCAGGGCATCCCGGGTGGCTCAGGGGTTTAGCGCCTGCCTTCAGCCCAGGGTGTGATCCTGGAGACCGGGGATTGAGTCACACGTCAGGCTCCCTGCATGGAACCTGCTTCTCCCTCTGCCTGTGTCTCTGCCTCTCTCTCAATCTGTGTCTCTCATAAATAAATAAATAAAATCTTCAAAAAAATAAATAAAATAAAAAAGGATTCATTTTACTAACAAAAATTTGTGGAAGTCAGGAGTTCTGTCATTTATTTTAAAATTATTATTATTTTTAAAGATATTTATTTATTTGTTTATTCATGAGAGACACACAGAGAGAGGCAGAGACACAGGCAGAGGGAGAAGCAGGCTCCCTAGGGAGCCTGATGCGGGACTCGATCCCAGGACCCCGGGATCACGACTTGAACCGAAGGCATAGGCTCAACCACTGAGCCATCCAGGCACCCCTATTTATTTATTCATTAATATATTTATTTATATAAATTTATTTATTTGAGAGAGAGAGCAAGAATGGGGGGAGCCACAGAGGGAGAGGAAGAAGCAGACTCCCCACAGAGCAGGGAGCCCGAAGCAGGGCTTGATCCCAGGACCCCAGATCATGACCTGAGCCACCAGCTGAGCCACCCAGGTGCCCCAGGTGTTCTGTCATTTAAATAAATCTTTGCTCTACAAAATTCACTTTCTAACACATTATACATTTATTTGGGGGGAGCTAATTAATGACTATGCAGAATAAAGGGATCATGATTCAAATTTATGCATCTATAATACACCTATGTGTGCATGTAATACAAATATTAAAATCTACCAAAAAGTTAGATCTTCCCAGTCTGAAGATACAATATACCATGTTACAATTGATAATCTCAAATTGCTGCTCTTGCCTTCTGTTCATGCTCTCCTCCTTACAAGGTCACCTCAGGCATTTCTGGAAGTATGCAATGAGGCTCTAGTAGCTACACAGGCATAAGCTAGACTTTGGAGTCCACTTTGTTCTTCTGTTCCTGCTCTGGTTCCCCTGGAAAACATTCATGGGCTGCTCAAATGTTGAAGGAGCCTCATTATGGCCAGTACTAAAAAAAAAAAAAAAAAAAGGAATCCACCTAGAAGAAATAAATGAAGCGTAATAGCTTATGGTTTACTTATTTCCTGTATAGGAAAGGAAGAAATTATGAATGGCTGCCTTCCATGTACCCAGGACACCATGCTGGTTGTTTTATATACATTAACTTGTTTAGTCTAAAAATATTCCCTTTTTCTATTTGGCTATAACAAAATACAATGGTCACTAATGGACAATAGAAATTAATTTCTCACAGTTCTGGAGGCTGGAAGTTCATGATCAGGGCACCAGTGTGGTCGAGTTCTTGCAGACTGTGGACTTCTTGCTGTGTCCTCACATGGTAGAAGGACAAATGATGTAAGATTCCAGTCATAAGCTCAACAAAAGACCTAGGAGTTGGCCTAATAAAGAATGCACAGGACAATACAAACATTTATAAATGTTCATTTAAAATACAACATTGGTCAAAACAGAAGAGCTTACATTTGGAGTAGAGAGAGGAAGACAGTAAACAGATAAACATATGTCAAGTAGAGATAAATATCATTAAGATATTTTAAAGGTGGATAAGGAGGATCATGAATGGTATAATAGGGCTCCCCTATTTTGTGAGGGAAGACACTGGTGTTAAAGATGACATTCAAACAGGATTTGAAAAAGGTGAGTGAGAGCTATGTGGATATTTGGGGATAGAGTTTGGCATGTTGATGAACAGCCAGGAGGCTGGAGTGGATTAAGGATGGGTGTGGAGGGTAAAGTAGTGGTAAGGGGTAAGGAAGAATGATATGAGGTTGGAGATTGGATCACTAGAGCAATAATTTTCAAACTTCTTTGATCTGACCCACAGAAAAAACACACACACACACAAACACACACACACACACACCCTACATCATAACCAAATATGCACACTCACAGAACAGAAAGAAAAGTGCATTGAAACAAGACATAGTATTATTACATGTAATGCCCTCTAGGGACACCTGCGTGACTCAATGGTTGAGCATCTGCCTTTGGCTCAAGCCATGATCCTGGGGTCCTGGGATCGAGTCCTGTGTGGGACTCCCTGTGGGGAGTCTATTTCTCCCTCTACCTATGCCCCTGCATATCTCTCTGTGTCTCTCATGAATAAATAAAATCTTTTAAAAAAAGTAATGCACTCTAGTTTTTTCTTCATTTCTGTTCTATTTCACTCTCTTAAAAAGGTGGTTGTGTGGTACTACACTGATTACAAGAACCCTTAATGAACTTCAGATTTTATTCTGAAATGAGAAGCCAACCAAAAATTCTGAGCATAGGAGATAGATGATCTAATCTGCCATATTTTGTAACTTAAATTGTATTCTTAAAATTTACTTTATGGAAACTTCAAGCATACAAAAGTTAAGGCAATAGCATAATGAACCCTCCTTTATCTATGACCCAGTGTCAATAACTATCAACAATTTGCTGTTTCTGTTGCATCTATCACTTTATTTATTTAAAAGATTTACTTATTTATTCATGAGAGACACAGATAGAGAGAGGCAGAGACACAGGCAGAGGGAGAAGCAGGCTCCATGCAGGAAGCCCAATGCAGAACTTGATCCCGGGACTCCAGGATCATGCCCTGGGCCGAAGGCAGGTGCCAAATCGCTGAGCCACCCAGGGATCCCCACCTTACATATTTAAAATAAACCATTAGGGAGCTTTGGGATTTGGGGAGTGGGTAGTGTGGTGATGGGGGAATCCAGCTGGTAGAGTGTTCCATGGGATTTCCCTACTGAATCAAAAACTGTAGAGGCCTCAGCATTCCTTCTGAAATCCCAGCACAAGCATCTCAAGGTTGAGGTTTTACTTTCTTCACAGTAGCATTTTTATAGATGTCCAGTATTCTGGGTAGAAAAGTACTTGGAAAGGCAGGATCCACGGCACAGGTATGAAGACTAGATAGGTTGGATTTATATAGAGGTTCTCTTCCTGGGGGCTGGGGTGGGTAGTAGAGGTGGTGGTAAGCCTGGGGGTTTGTCCTAGAAGTTGGAGTATGCACCCTCTGAACACCTCATGCTTTTGGAAACAATAAAGCAGACACCAATAGGGGCACCTGGGTGGCTCAATGTTGAGTGTCAGCCTTGGGCTCAGGTTGTGATCCCAGGGTCCTGGAATCGAGTCCCTCATTGGGTTCCCTGCAGGGAGCCTGCTTCTCCCTCTGCCTATGTCTCTGCCTCTGTGTGTGTGTGTCTCTCATGAATAAGTAAGTAAACTCTTAAAAAAAAAAAACAAGAAAAAGACACCAACAACTCAACTGTCTTAGGTCTTGTCGCAGTAGAAGCAAGTAGAACCAAGTAGAAGTGCATTATGGATGCGCCCATCACGGAGAGTTGGCTGTAGAAGGTACCCCCAAAAGGCTAAATTAACTGAATCTAGATACATATAAAATTAATCACCAAGGGATCTGGAGGACTGTCACGCATATGGAAGTGTCTAGCAAACAGGAAATAATAGGAACAATGCAGCACTTTTCTGGGCTGAGACCTGTAAACATCATGGTAGAACAGTGATACAGTAGGTATGTTCGTCGCTCGGGAGGGTTCCTTGCACCTCTCCGCGCATCCCGGGGGACAAGAACCCGAAAGGCGGCCACAGGACCGGAGCTCTGGGCTGAGGGTGCATGAACGTGGGAGCCACTGAAGCCCTACCCCAGAATGCGAGAGCACAGGGCATCCGCCAGGAATCCTGGAAAGGTGCGTACCTCAAGCGTGGGGCTGCTGTGCTGGGTTTCTGAAGCAGCGCTGCGGCTCCGCTTATTCTGTAGTGACCAAAGGGACTAGCCCACGGGGGGAGCCACCTGCTCCCCAGACTGACGATACTCCCACCTGACCCCAAACACTAGGCAGTCCCTGAGGCTTCCTGTCCACCGTCGCTGGGCTGCCAACGTCAACCTCTCTTCTTAGGGCCACGCGAGGGCTTGTCGCTGAGCGCAGGGCAAGCGGGAGAGTCTGGGAGGTTAGCGCCGAGCTTCAACGCATCCTTGCCGGGCTTTTCCGAACCCAGGCACCGGGCCGACTGGACTACATTTCCCAGGAGCCTCGGTGCGCACTTCCGCTTCCGGCTCCTTTGTGTGGACGCCCTCCGCTCGCTGCGAACCCGCGCTTGCGGTCTTCCAGTGCAGTGACCAGCTCAGTGTGTGGACCGGGGAGGAGCTGACATTGGACAGGGGTGTGTGTCCAGCAGAGGGTTGCCAGGCTTGGGGGTCTCGCCGCATCCCATGGGGGTTCTCCCTGGGCCCGCTGACCTGACCGTAATCCCTTCGGCTGGAGCTGGGTTGCTGTCAGGGCTTGGACACCTTGCCCTTGCCCTCAGCTCTGGGGTTTGTGTGTAAGTGATGATGGTGTGTACGTGTGTTTAAGTCTGAGCCATGTCCAGGTCCTTTGCTCGGAAACGGGCTGAGAGCTCGCACAGCCTGGAGCGCTTGGCTGGAAGGTGAGGCAGGTAGGGCCTAAGGCCCTCAGTGCTCCCAGGTCAGAGACCATCGCGTGCCTCCCCTTGTGTCCTTGCAACCCAAAGCATGGTGGAACCATTGCATAGACTCCAACAGTGTTGATGCGGGAGGGCGTGGATGTAAGAGATCCATTTGTCTACCATTTGTCTACTTACCGAGAAAGCCGTTATTGCTGGGTGATGCAGCCATAGGCGAGTTACTGAACTTGGCCTCTCCTGTTCCTTACCTGTGAAGTGAAGTTTATTGTTCCTATCTTAAGTGGTGATTGTGTGGATTAAATGGAAATTTGATGTCAAACAGTTGACACAGTGTGGGGCACTAGGTAAGGGCTCAATCAATAGTAGCAGTTGGGAATAGTAGGTATCCACCTTCTCATTTGTACATAAAAAGCAACTGACACCCAGGGAGGAAAGTTACTTGTTCTGGGTCATCTAGCCATCTGGTACATAGAAATGAGAATCCAGATACCTTCATTCCCAGCAGGGCACTTGCCACCATCGCCTGCTCTTGCATATCCTTCAAGTATGGTGACAATATCTTACCTGTTGTCTGTGATTATCTGTGTTCCTGGGTGTCTGTCTCTGCAGGGCCTGGGGGAAAGGTTATATTGAGACTCCCCTGTGAATAGGGCTGCCTGAACCAAGAGTGAATGCTGACCTTGTTGACTTTAGTTTTAGCTCCAAATAGACTCTTTAGACTCCCTGATTACTGTTAGGAATGGGGTCTCAGACAATGAAAGAAAGAATACAATGAAAAAGAAGAATTCAACCCAGAATGTCTTGCTAGAGTTTCTGGGAGAATACTGGTAATCCCCAGGAAGAGACATGGAGGATTTGGGTGAAGTTGTTTTACCCAAATGGTGCAAAGTCTGTGGTTATGGAGGATCAGGGCCACAAACTCCAGAACAGAGGTAAGAAACACACATGAGAGAGAGGTTTCTGCTGTTAGCTGGGCACCTACAGTGTGTACACAGTCTCATTTTAGTTCTTCTTTACAACAGCCTTGTATGTGTGGGCAGCTCTGAGACCTTGGGCAAACCATCAATTTCCTCATTTGTAACAAGTGATTTATGGAAAGCATCTGGTACATTGTGAGTACTCAATAAATAGTAGTAATTTTACTAATATCATTCCCTTTTTACTAGAAGCTCCAAAAAGTAAGACATCTTATCACCCTTCCATACTCTATTTTACCAGATTCCTCTCCAAAGGATGGGAGAGGGGGACAAGTCAGACTCCTTGGATAGAGAAAAGGAAATGGGCATGGAGAAGCAGATGATTTGATCTGGCATTCTAGCACATGGGAGAGGTCAAGTGCAGATCTGGGTGCACCTGCACTGTCCACTGCCCAATTCTGGTAGGATTGAGAACTGCCCCCGACATCCTTCTAGTCTCTCTTAAGAAGTATTCTCTCTTGAGATACAGAAGGATGGGCCAGATTAGAAGGGGCTTCCATGGTCTAGCTTTAGTCTCTTTGGTTTTCCCAGACATCCTGCTCTTGGCCCCTCTGATTTTCCAAGGTCCTGAAACTTATGAGTTCCTGTCTCTACCCCACCCTTCATGGGGTCAGAGTTCAGTGCAGGGAGGGGACAGGCATCTTGTGGGAAAGTAGGGGCTTGGGGTATGGTCGACCATATACATTGATAATACCTTTTGTTTTCATAAAACAAAGGATAGAAAATCCTATAAAATTTTGGTTAGTGGTGCTATGCAGAAAATAGAGTGAGAATTAACTGATACATTACCTTTACTGAATGCTTACTCTATCAGGTACTGATTTGGGCCCTTTATATACACTACTGAACAATGCTTCAAGGTGGGTACCATTGTTATTCTCATTTCTCCAATGAGGAAGCTGAAGCACAGAAGAAACTTCTCCTAAAGCCATGTAGAGCTAGGATTTAAGAGCAGGCAGGCAGCCCCGGGGCAGGTGTTCTAATGAGAAAGCATTGTAGGAGGCACAGATTTGGTTTTTAAATCATGAAACTCTGTACTGTTACAGTAATGGCTTGAAATTCCTACTTCTTCCCAAGACAAATCCACAAGGGGCTTTAAAAAAAAAGATTTATTTATTTATTAGAGACTGAGAGACAGCACAGGGAGGGTAAAGGAGAGAGAGAGAGAATCTCCAGCAGACTCCTTGCTGAGCAGGGAGCTTGCCTAGGGGTGGGGGGAGGCTCAATCTCATGATTCCCAAGATCATGACCTGAACCTAAATCAAAGAGTTAACTGATTGAACCACCCAGGCACCCCCTAAAATGGGGTTTAAGTCTTGCTTTTTGGTGGTTGGGGAGAGTGAGAGTTAAAGAAATAATGAACTATAGAATATTAGGAAAACAATTATATATAGAATAAAATAAACGGCATATAATCTTACCACCTAGAGATAAGCTCAAAGAAGTGCTCAAAGTTAATATTATCAGTTTTTTTCCCAGGAGGCAAAAAATCAAAATGGGAAAGGAAATTGAGAGAAAGGATTGGTCGATGGGCATGGAGTCAGACAAAGGAGTTAGGGGGATCATGAATTCATTTTCAGCACTTTGGGGGTACTGCCACTAGGGTGCTTAGGATACAGGGGAGCATGAGATGACAGGCTACAATTTAATGGATCACATGTGCAGTGGAGTGAACCTAGAATGGATGCAGACTTAGTGGGGGCCTGGAGTACTCAGGATCTGGTGATGATGCTTCCTGTGCCCTAAACTGCTAGGATGGGTACTATTGCCCTTTGCCTCTGTGGCAACTTTTTCTCGTTCTATGGAGTTGGAAAGTTTCTCCATTAGTGAATAAAGGAGTTGAGGCAGGAAGTCTGGAAGCTTCCAGTCAACCCTAATGGTATCTGAGGTTATGTTGGAAGCCTCATTACATAGGTGTCTGACCATATGACAGCCAGGGGCAGAGGCTCTTTTTGTCCTAAGTGGCTATTTCTAACATAATAGGTCTGAGACACATATCAATAAACTGGATTCCTTTATTACTCTTGCCTTCTAGTTCTGCCATCTAGGGAGTCTGCCCTTTTCCAAAAGGATAGATATCTTGAGGAGGAGAACATGGCTGCTCTTTTCCAGACAGCGAAGTTGTCCCAGGTGAGTTGGGGATTTACCTCTTGCCCCTAAAATCTCATTTTAATTCCTGAAGCGAATAAATTTATGTCTCATTGCATGAAGCTTATCAGTCCTATTAGAAAACAGCTGTTTCAAAAGATAGGATCAAGAGGTTGGGATGAACCACCACCAACCTGGCGACTAGTGTTCCTTATTGTGTGGAAGTAGTAGTGAAGATGGAGGCTCGGCAGTCTGTCCATCAGTTGGCAATAGAGGAAAGAGGGAGGGGGAGGACTGTGAGCATGGTTGGCAGAGAGTCAGGCTTCCCTTTGTCCACTTGAGGCATTAGGCTTAGATCAGCAAAGGCACATGAAATATCTTTTGTATCCATCTGCTTAGAATGTTCTCCATGGGGAGAAAAGACCCATACACAAATCTGGGTGGCACAAATCAGCACATTTACTGATGGCCTACTTAATAAAGTGCTTTAGGGAAAATGTTGTATGATTTCAGAAGAGGGTGAGCAAGTGTCTGGCTGAGAGAGATTTGAGAAGGCTGTCTTCATTCAGCCAGCATTTTTTTTTTCAGCCAGCATTTTTAAGCCCTTTTAAGGAGCCCCAAGCTAATAGAAGCAGTGAGACTTGAAGTGGGCCCTGAAGGATGAGTAGAAATTTTTTTAAAAAGATTTCATTTACTTATTTGAGAGAGAGAGAGCAGGGTGAGGGGCAGAGGAACAGGGAGAGAAAATCCTGAGCAGGAGCCCAACATGGGGCTCAATCTCAGGACCCTGAGATCATGACCTGAGCCAAAATCAAGAGCTGGTGGCTTAACTGACTGAGCCACCCAGGCACCTCAGATAAGTAGATTTTTGAGAAGAAGGATTTGGGAACTCAGTGACTTAAATGGCTTAGAATTGAGGAACGATACTGCTTCCACTGAGACAAGAAAAAAGGAAGTACAAAGTACAATTGAAATCATGGATATATTGTCCTGTAAAAACTTAAGAAGCTTCTGATCTGTCTGCAGTGTACCAATAATCACACACAAAATTCTTCCCTAGATAAAAATCTCAAGTTTGGTATATTTCTTAGTTTCTTATTTACCATGTCTCTTTCTTAATGAAGATAACCTTAAGGTTTGCCAAATAATAAACTTGGATTGGAATGCCGTATCCTTAACTTGATCTTTTTTTGTAGGGCTAAGTCACTTTGTTTAGTTGAGAAGTTTTAATGGGCCTTTATTGTTCAAAGGCTTTTTAAGACTTACTTTCTATTGTGTGAGATCTAGAAACTGTGCTTTTCCGACCATGTGAAACCCCAGATTTCTGGACTGTGTATTCCCTTTTATTTTAGCTTGAAAATTGGTAAATTCCTTCTTGAGCTCAACTCTTTTTCTTTGCCAAATAGAGCCAGAAGCATCCTGCATAAGCCAGCATTCTGGCTCTTTCTACCTTATTTCCCCAGAGCTGCAGGCTGAGTGAATTTTTGGTCTTCCTTCCCAGTTACTAATCACTTTGCCAGTGTCAATCAAGAGTCTACATCATTCCAGCCTTAACTACCCATGTCTTTGAAGCTTGCTGCCTGAATATCAAGCCAATGCCCCTGTATATTTTAGGTGTTTGTTAGGGTATCTTCTATTTCAGGGTGCTAGTTTCTGAATTAATTAGGATTGGCTAACTTGTAACTGGTGTAATGGAGAGACCCAAAATGCATAATGGCCCCAACATAATAGAAGTTCATTTCTTGTCCTCATAACCATGAGTGGGTCAGCAGGTTGATAGCATGGCCATTCAGGGTCTTGAACTATCTGAAGCTCTAATATCTCTACCACATAGCTCCCAAACTCATGTTCGGGGTTATCTCCATGTCTCAGCCACAAGGGGAAAATAGTAGCAGAATGTATGTGAGTCAGGCCTGGAAATGGTGCGCCTTACTTCTGCTTGCGGTCTCTTGGCCACATCTAACTGCAAAGGAGATTGGGAAATGTTTGTCTACCTAGAAAAGTGAGGAGGGGAGTGTACTTTAGTGAGCAGTTAGTAGCTTCTGCCACTCTCCTCAAACATTTAGGTTATCTAGAACTTTCTTGCTATTGTAAATTGTAAATAGATAAGAATCTGTTGATAACTCCCTATTCATGTCTCTGTTAATTTTATTACATTGATTTCTAGATAAGAAATTGATAATGTCAAAAGGGTATGCATATTTTAAGACTTTTTAACCTATGAGTCAATATGCTTTTGACACTATGAACATGATTGGTTCCATTTCCTCTACATTTCATGAATCTCCCCTAATTTGCCTTATTCAACTCTTACTTCTAAATCACATGCAGGTGTTTCAGGGCTTGTCATTCAAGGATGTGGCTGTGAACTTCACTGAGGAAGAATGGAGAGAACTGGATCCTGCTCAGAGAGACTTGTACAGGGATGTAATGCTGGAGAACTATAGGAACCTAATCTCCTTGGGTAAGGTTGGGTCCTCACCTCAGGTAGGCATTTTGGGATGCCATTGATTCCTAAAGATTCCCATGCTCCTATTAAGGGATGATCAGAAAGGAGGCTTTGTGGGGAGTGCCTAGGTGGCTCAGTCAGTCAAGCATCCAACTCTTGATTTCTGCTCAGGTCATGATCTCAGGGTCATGGAATTGAGCCCTGAGTCAGGCTCTGTGCTTAGCAGGGACTCTGCTTTTCCCTCTTCCTCTGCTCCTCTCCCTCCCCCTGCCCCTCATTCCCTCACCCTGCGGCAGGAAGGAAGGAAGGGGGAAGGAGGGTGTGGTTAACATTTTCCTACAGAATCTAGAGCAGATCCTTAGACTGTTTATTACCCTACTTTTGTAGAATATGTTTAATTGCTTTTGACAATTAGTTACCTTGTTTTCTGCTCTTGAAAACATAAGAGTGGGACTGAAAATGGGGTGGTCCTTTGTCTTTGAAACTGACAATCGCATTCTGTTTCTTTCACTTGAGTAGGCTTTCCATTTTCTAAACCTGATATCATCTGCCAGTTGGAACAAACAGTAAATCCATGGATGCAGAAGGCAGAATTGCTAAGAAGCAGCTGCACACGTAAGTGAGAACCAGGCAGACAACATCTTTTGAAATATGAGTTAGGGGTTCCTTCCCAAATTCCAAATCCTCCTGTAGAAAATGTTGAGGCCCCCTCTAAGTCTCATCTTCATTCGGACATATCAGTCTTGTGAGCCTAACTCTACTTCTTCCCAGATTCAAGGAAGGATACTTCTTTCTCAAAGTTAGAAGCCTGACATTTGATCCTGAGATCACTGTTGTACTTCACTCTGGCATTTTATGAGGTCATTCCCTTTTTCCTCTCTAGTAGCTGGGGCCTCGCCTTCATTTACTTTGTCTTTGTTGTACCTAGTTTTTCCCTACCTAAAAAGTATGAAGAGAATGGAAGAATTTGAATGTAAGTTTAAAGAATGTGATCTTACATCCAAGTTTAAGGTAGTAAAATTGATAGAATTTATTGACTGTATGTGGGAGGTAAGGGAGAAACAAAGATAATTTCCGGGTTTCTGGGTTGGCTGTGTAGGTAGATGGAAGTTCTCTTCCCTGAGATGGAAAACACAGGAGAAATAGCAAGTTTGCGGGAAGGAGGTGGTGGTGAAAGAGGAGTTCTGATTATTCTAAATTGTTTGAAGAGTCTATAGCAGATGTAAACCAGTGATTCTCAAACAGGTGATTTGGCCCCATGGGACATGTCTGAAGACTGGGAGGGTGCTATGGGCATCGAGTGGGTGGAGGCCAAAGATGTTGCTAAACATTATGCCCCTCACACAAAGACTTGTCTTGCCAAAATGTCAGTAGCACTGCAGTTGAGAAACTCTGGTCTAAGTAGGGTGTCTGGAAGGTAGATGAATATAAGGAGGAGATGTCAAATGGGTCTTTGTGAAGGAAAGAGATCATAACTGGTGGTACAGATTTGAGAAACATCTGAGAATAGATGGTAATGAAGTCATGGGAGTGCATAAGATGTGAAAATAGAGAAATAGAGAATGAAAAGAATTGCAAGAGAACCTAGAAGCCCAATGAACATACACATTTAAGTATCCGCTAGCTGTATTTATCTGTCTATATCTATATCACTTGTGTAATTTTAAAAAACCACATGGGGGAAAATGGTGTCAAGATAACAAAATAGTAATAATTTTTAATAATAGATGATGGCAGTAGAGGTACGTTATACAAATTTTATCAATATAAATGAAGGAAAGAGGGGATCCCTGGGTGGTGCAGCGGTTTGGTGCCTGCCTTTGGCCCAGGGCACGATCCTGGAGACCCGGGATCGAATCCCACGTCGGGCTCCCGGTGCATGGAGCCTGCTTCTCCCTCTGCCTCCCTCTCCCTCTCTCTCTCTCTCTCTCTCTCTCTCTATCATAAATAAATAAAAATTAAAAAAAATAAATGAAGGAAAGAGAATCCAAAAAAGATATTAAGAAAGGGTGGCCAGAGTAGAAGGAAACCAGGTCAGATTGTTGTCATAGAACCCAACAGAAAAGAGCATTTGAAGGGTCCCTCCTCATAGTGCTCATAGTGATATATGGTAGAGAGGTCAAGTAAAGACCTGAAGAGTGTCTGTGGAGATTTATAAGTTGTTCCTTCTTTTCGGCTAACCTGATAATGGATTAGTCCCCCTGCCACTGTTTCTCTCCTCTGCTTAACTTCTATTCCTGTCTTTTAATTTTTATTTTCCTATATTATATAAGGTTGTCACAGGCACATACTAAGATTACTTTGAAAATAGTCCAGCTTGCAAAACACATGTGCTGTTTGTCTTACTCTTAATAAGGCTGAAAGACTGCTTACAAGATCCCTGATGACAAAGTCCCAACTTTACAACCGTTAAAATGTCTGTCATGTGTAGTTTACCCATAAGAAAGCTGAACTAGTATTAGTGGTAAGCCTAATCCTCTGATCCTCCTAAAATTCCTGCATTCTCCTGAACTTTAGGTCTTTGATGGTGTGCATATTGGGGGGGGGGGTTATTTTGGGAGGCCCAGAGACAGGAGAAAAAAAGTGAAAGCTGAAGGTAATCTCTGGTAAATAGTAACACACAGGGTAGTAGCAAAGGAAAATATGGTTAATGATCTTATTGAACCCGACAGCAACCTCAGGCATCATCAAGGAGAGTTACTAGAGAACTGTGCCAGTGGGAATGGAAGATGTAGGCATTGAAGGATGACCCTAGCTGGAGTGAACTCAAGACAAGGGGCACAGGGGACTGCTGGTGGTGGTGGTATCAAAAGCAAGGAAAGATTCCAGTGGTTCAAAACGAGGGGCAGCTATTATTCCTACGTACAGTAGCAATCATATTTATCTTCCCAATAGACTGTAAATCTCTCTTATAGTATCTCAAAGGAGGTACTATATCTGTTTTATTTATCATTGAATACTATAACATAACACAGTGCCTAGCCCACAGTAGGTGTTCAATAAATTATTTGTTGAGTACTTGACTTATATTTGTGACTAATAGTATTTGTGCAATTTCATTATCTCATTCCTGCTTTAGCCATTTCCTTCTTCTAGTACAGGGAACACTTTTACTTTTCCCCTCCAGATTTGGAGACCAGAAAGTCAAACCCAAAGGAGGTATTTTCTGAAAAAGAATCATACCAAGGGATAAGTATGGAAAGAAGCACAGGGGCTGATGCAAGGACTTCTGGTTTGAAAGAAGCCCAGGGATCTACAGAGATTAAAGAGAATGCTCAGGATAGACTCTGGAAAGAAGCAACAGTTATCTGCCAGAAAAGAACTTCTATAGCCAATAGTACCCCGAAATGTATTGAATCTGGTAGACATGTTAGTCTGAAGTCAGACATTGTTATACAATCAAGACATCATAAGGAAGAGAGACCTTATATGTCTGATGCTCAGGGAAAGAGTTTTAAACAGAATTCAAAATTGATAAGACATCAGAAAGATAGCACTTATGAGAAAGCTCTTCAGTGTAATGAATGTGGTAAAATATTCAGTGATCGCTCAATTTATGCTCAACATTGTAGAGCTCATAATGGAGAAAAAAAATTGGAATGTAATCAGTATGAGAAGACCTTTGGTCATGGTATACACCACACTGAACATCAGAAAACTAATATTGGAGAGAAATCTTATGAAGATAGGAAAGGGTATAAGTGGAACTCACAACTTACCACCAAACATCATCAGAGTGTTCATGGTGGGAAGGAATATAATGTGCATGAAAGAGCCTTAATTCAGAATGCACCATTTATTCAACATCAGAGAACCCAACATGGAGAGAAACCTTATGAATGCAGTGAATGTAGAAAAACTTTTGGTAATTATTCAGCCCTAACAGTACATCAGAGAATTCATACTGGAGAGAAACCATATGAATGCAAGGAATGTGGGAAAGCCTTTAATCATAATGTCTCTCTTAGTCAACACCAGAGAATCCATACTGGAGAGAAACCCCATGAATGTAATGAGTGTGGGAAGGCTTTTATTCAGATAACACACTTTATTCAACATCAGCGAATTCATACTGGTGAGAAACCTTATGAATGTAATGAATGTGGTAAAGCCTTCAGCCACAATTCATCCCGTATTGAACATCAGTTTATTCACACTGGAGAGAAGCCCTACGAATGCAGTGAATGCGGGAAAGCCTTCAGTCACAACTCTTCTCTTATTGTCCATCAATTTATTCACACTGGAGAGAAACCCTATGAATGCAGTGAATGTGGCAAGGTCTTTAGTCAGAGCTCACATCTCTATCAACATCAGAGAACTCACACTGGAGAGAAACCTTATACCTGTAACGACTGTGGGAAAGCCTTTAGTGATCGATCAGCCCTTATTCGACATCAGAGAACTCATACTGGGGAAAAACCTTACAAGTGTAGAGAATGTGGTAAAGCTTTCAGCCAGAGCTCAACTCTCATAAAACACACAAAAATCCACACTGGAGAGAAACCTTACACCTGTGAAGATTGCGGGAAAGCATTCAGCCAGAGTTCATCCCTGACACAACATCAGAAGATTCATACTGGGGAGAAACCGTTTGATTGCCACGAGTGTGGGAAAGCCTTCAGTAGAAGCGCCCATCTTACTCAGCATCAGAGGATTCACACTGGAGAGAAACCCTGTGAGTGTAATGAGTGTGGCAGAGCTTTCCGGTGTAGTTCAGCCCTCATTAGGCATCAGAGACTCCACGGTGGAGAATCACTCTGAATGTGTGGTCATTTAGACTCTTTACTTTGTTAAATACCAAAGAATCCTATTTTCATGGGTTATAATTGTGATCTTTTTTTTTTTTTTTTGGAGGGCTGAGAATGCTCTCCTCCTGTTTTCTGCAAAGAATTAGCTGCCAGATTACCACAAATACATGTGAAGAAATACTGATCTGAAAGCTGGAACAGCCCAAGAGACCAACCATCAATCTTTCTCTGTGTGTGTGTATATATATTTTTTCCACTGTACCCCAAAATGACTAATGTCACCATGAAGTGATTTTTTTTCCTGACCTCAGGAATAGGCTGTTCCAACATGCAAAGCAATTCCAGTTGTTCAAAATTGAGCTCACTTCCCCTCCTTGTACTGATTGGAATACTGCCATATCCAAGTTAATAGACTCATGGTTGGTCATATATTTGAATACCACCTTTCTATAAATCTTTGCCTTCATATACAATCATTCCTACCCCCTAGCAATACTGTCCTCACTAAAAGGGCTACTTTGAACTCTCCCTTCCTACTGACTTTCCTATCTGTCTCTTCTATTTTTTTTATTTCTTTTTTCCATCTCTTCTATTTAAAGTGCTTACACAGTGTTAGCTTCAGCTTGAAGTTCAACAGGGCTTGAGTTTCAGAGCTGAAGAGCACAACTGAAGATAGAGAAAAAAAATTTTATTCTGAAAATTTTAAGACAAAATATTCTAAAGAAATGGTGACATCTGGAAATAATTATTGAAATACACGAACATTTTAGTAACTTTTAGAAATTGAAGGCAAGAATAAAAAAAGAGTCCTCCATAACAGTGACTGCTATTAGAATCAGAGCTCTTCAGATAATGTTTGTTAACATCTTAGGCATAGCCAGGTCCTTCTGAAACCTTTTCTTTCCTGGAGCCAGCTAGTTTGGGTTGTGGAAAAACATTTGCCCCCTCCTTCAGAGGCCTCATTTATGATAACCCGATATAGAACAAATTTATTATGGCTAAAACTAATTTATGTGGTTAAAAGTGATTGACTTACTTGTGTTGAGTGAAGGGAAAATTAATATACATGTTACATCTCAACTTCCTCCAAGATGCTTGGATAATTTTCACTATTGTGCTGAGCACATTATATGGTGATCTCAGGCTTGATTTCAGGATTGTGGGAAGAGATCTTTGTTGATTAGAGCAGGGCTTTCTGCCTTTTCTGAGGGGGTATTAATACTTTTTAGTGTTTTTTTTTAAATCAATAGGTAATTGTCACATTATCTTTTCAATTTGCAAGTTATTCTCCTTTAGGACCAAACTTAAAGTCTCACCTCTCCCTGGTAACAGTTGGAAATAATCTCCTCCTCTGAAAACCTTGGCCACTCATTATATTCCTCATATGTGCCTATAAAACATTTTTAGTTCAATCTTAATGTCTGGCTTTTTTTTTTTTAAAGGTAGATTTGGCCAAAGCCAATGCTCTTTTTTTTTTAATTTATTCATGATAGTCACACAGAGAGAGACAGAGAGGCAGAGACACAGGCAGAGGGAGAAGCAGGCTCCACGCAGGGAGCCCAACGTGGGACTCGATCCCGGGTCTCCAGGATCGCACCCCGGGCCAAAGGCAGGCGCCAAACCGCTGCGCCACCCAGGGATCCCTTAATGTCTGGCTTTATCTCCAACTTTAACAATTCTCACCATGAGGAACGTAACTATCTTGTTCGGTCTTTTGTTGTTTATTTGATTTTTTAAAAAGATTTTATTTATTCATGAGAGACACACAGAGAGAGGCAGAGGGAGAAGCAGGCTCCCCACAGGGAACCCAGTGTGGGACTCAATCCCAGGACCCCAGGATCACGGCCTGAGCCAAAGGCAGATGCTTAACCACTGAGCCACTCAGGTGCCCCTTGTTGATTTTAAACAAAATAATACTTACACACAGTTTTAAAAATTCATATGGGTTTTTTTTCCACGGAAAGCCATCCCTGTGGTACCTTTGATACACATTGTACATTAGATGATTTCTGGATATGTTTTGCCAAAGTCATGCATACAAAATATAGCAGCTTGAGATAAGCATTTTGGGGAAGAAAATCACATCGTACTTAATTTTACTTAATAAGAATTCAATCATACGCACCAAGACCCTCCTCCAAAAAAGCCCAACAGGTAAGTAAATTAGTGAAATTAGAAATACTGTAAAATCATATTTTACATATATGTATAACATTCTGTTTATACATTTATGCATATGAACACATAATAGCATGTGTTATCAGAGTTTTACACAAAGCTAAATAACTGCATCTTATGAGCAATGCAGAGATTTATAAGCACAATATTGATAATACTCTATTTTTACCTTATGGCCTCACTACAGAAGGTAATTTTGTGACTCTAAAGAATTGAGAGGCACAGCCAATACATTCGTGTACTACTCTATCCCTCTCCACAAATGGTTTTCCTCAATTGACCAGAGACGATTATATCAGAAGATAAGCCAATCCACACTAGTAGAAGGGTTGCTATGATACAGCAACATGGAGAACTGAGAAACACCTCTGGTTAATGTAGGTTAAAAAAATAATAAAATAAAAATCCATTTCCCAAAATAAACCTGGCCTTAGGAATCTGGTAATTGCCTCAGCTTGTAAGGCAGACCTAGTTTAATTCTCTTCTTTAGTAAATGTAAGAAAAGAAAGCTACCTGGTTTCTGTCCTCCTAGAAATGCAACTCAAGAGGTAGGCATGACATTGATATTCTTTTCCTTTTATAAGCATAAGTCAAGGCAGATTCAGTGTACAAAGTGCCATTTGTTTTTCCTTTAGTTGTATTTTAGCTCTCCCCAAGCACCTTTAAGAAGATCTCCCAGACAATACCAGCTAATACTTGTGGTAAAGATTTATTACGTGCTAGACCCTGTTCAGCCACCTTTGTATGCATCAGCTCATTCATTTCTCCCAACAGTCTCAGGAAACTGATTTCCAGAACCAATCTCTTAGATAGGTTCCTCTTACCCCTCTTGTATAGAGGAAGCAGTGATGACTCAGAAAGGCAAAGTGACTGGCCAACCTGGAAACAGTGTGGAGCTGAGATTTAAGTCCGGTAGTCCAGCTCAAGAGTGCTTGTTCTTAACCTCTTTGCCATACTGCCTCTCTGCACATGTGCGTGTGTATGTGTGGCCCTGAGCTAAGTGTTGAGGAAGGTTGCTGAGCATGCCAATCACCAGGGCATGATGGAACCACTTGCTAGGGATGGTGGAAGCCAGTGACTGACGGAACTACAGGTGTCAGAACTTGCTTTTCTCTGTTTTATACACTCTGGCATCCTTGGGGAAGACAATATGGCAAGAGTAGATGGCTTCTTGTATTGGCTGAGAGGCAGAGCTCTGAGTTAGAGCACTCTTCCATTAAGACACCATCCAGGGCAGCCCTGGTGGCTCAGCAGTTTAGTGCTGCCTTCAGCCCAGGGCGTGATCTTGGAGACCCGGGATCGAGTCCCATGTCAGGCTCCCTGCATGGGCCTGCTTCTCCCTCTGCCTGTGTCTCTGCTTCTCTCTCTCTCTCTCTCATGAATAAATAAAATCTTAAAAAAGACTTCATTAAAAAAAAAGACACCATCCAAAGGGAGCCTCATTGGATGGGACAATATTATCTGAGATTTGTTCCTGTGTAGGCTCCAAAGGAAAGAGTTCTGGATTAAGAGGTGCTTTCTCGGATCCCTGGGTGGCGCAGTGGTTTAGAGCCTGCCTTTGGCCCAGGGCGCAATCCTGGAGTCCTGCGATTGAGTCCCACGTCGGGCTCCCGGCTTGGATCCTGCTTCTCCCTCTGCCTGTGTCTCTGCCTCTCTCTCTCTATGTCTATCACAAAAAACAGGTGCCTTCTCTAATATAATCCAGGTTATGGTGCCTACATAGGCAACTGCTGTAAGTGTAAGAAGGTACTAAATGACTTACAGGAAAGTCAGAGTGGTTTTCCTTGGATAGGACAGCCCAAATTTATTTACCAGTCCCTTTTATTTTTTTAAAAGATTTTATTTATTCATGACACACACACACAGGGAGGGGGAGAGGGAGAGGAAGGCAGAGACACAGGCAGAGGGAGAAGCAGGCTCCATGCAGGGAACCCGAGATGTGGGACTCAATCCCCTGTCTCGAGGATCAGGCCCTGGGCTGAAGGCGGTGCTAAACCACTGAGCTACCTGGGCTGCCCTTACCAGTCCCTTTTAGAGAGTCTGTTGTTTTTGACAGCTCCTGTGTGGTAATTAAGATTCATGAATGTGACAAGCCCACTCTTGTAGGAACAGAGGACAGTGGCTGACTTTTTCCTGAAGAGGGCGAAGTCATGCCCTCTCCCCTTCCTTTGTACTTGATGACTGACATAGGAATAAGCACCCATGAGAAGGGATTCAGAGGCTTCTCTGTGGGGTAAATTCAAGAGGCCAGAAAGGAGTCTGAGGAAATTAGGAAAAGAAAGAAAATTCCTGAGACTTGTTTCCTTTTTTTCTTGTCATTTTAAGGGTGTGGCATGTGACTCCTGTGATACTTCAAAATTATTCCTAACCCACTGTTGTGTGGATTTATGTCATTACCACCTGCGTACGATGAGAGGAAAGGTCTCCAATAGAGGAGGCTTGAAAATCACAGAAGAGTCTAGGGAATCTTCCTGCGAAGATGATCCATGTAGAGGGCAGTCACTTTCCTCTCGGGCTCCAAAAGAGGTGCCAGTGGTTATTTTTCACCTTTTAAATTTTTAAAACATATTTTTAAAGGCTATTTATTTTTCTAATCTCCCACCCAAAGCGGGGCTCAAACTCACGCTGACCAAGAGTCCCACGCTCTTCCGATGGAGCCAGCCAGGTGCCCATATTTCTTTCTTCTTCTTCTTCTTCTTTTTTTTTAAATGTTATTTATTTATTCATGAGAGACACAGCGAGAGGCAGACACACATAGGGAGGAGGCGGCTCCTCGCCGGGAGCACCATGGGGGACTCGATCCCCAGACCCCAGGATCACACCCTGAGCCGAAGGCAGACACTCACT